CTGTACCAGAAAAGAGCTGATGCATTTTTCTGAACGCCCTTCCTTCGATAATCTACGCATTTAATCATCAGAAGAGAGCTGTGTCGTCGGCGAGACTTGTGTATTTTGTGTTATTTGCTGCTCTCCGCAGTGTGTTCTTTTCAGGAGTGGATGTCGAGAAATGATGGATTGTCCCAGTACATTGTCATGCGAAGATTGCCACACGCCGCGAGGGAAGCAGATATTCGGTCTTTCCTAAAAGGTAATTTTAGGAAACTGTAATTTTTTTCCTTAAAAAATACAAATATTTACGATGCTGTATCGTGGCAGTGAAATGGCGCTCCATAACAAAGCGCTGGGGAGACGACCAAGGCGAGAAAGGGGAGGGCCGCCCGTTGGATAATTGTTATGAAAGTTTGCTCGCTGGATTTATCAACTTAGCAGATTCGTCGAATGACTGTTGCCGTTGGGCTTTGGATATTTGGATCAGTGTCTGCCTGTTCGGCTTATTTGCATTAATCAGTGCTACATCGTCTTGCTGGCTCTGCTGATTTTCGTTGCGCCTGTGTTCCCGAATTGGATTGAATTTGCACTGCTCACTGAAAATGACAGTTCGAAAAGTTTCTAGTATTTTCCCAGAACTCAGATTTTTAGCAAGCCCTGTTTTGCATGATATTCCCGGTTATCACGAGTTATTCTTACAGGCATGACTATCGTGAACATCGCGTTTCCCATGGATGTGGTGAGGTTGCATGCGGTCGGCATATGCTACGTTGAGTTGGAAGATATTCAGTCAGCAAAAGAGGCTGCGAGGAGGTTTAACTGCAAAAAACTGGGCGAACGTACAGTTCACGGTATGATCGATCATGATTTTCTGCGTTTGATGAAAGTGTGATGAAATCACAGGTCACCCCTGTCTCTTTGCCAAATACAAAAGCAATCACGGTTGTTCTCCTCTCAGATTTTGCCGTTTAAAGACAAATATTGTTGCAGTAAGTGTGGTCAACAGTAGTACTGCGGAGACGCTAGTGCGCCATGGAGTGCTTGGAAAAGACAGCAGCGTACAAAGTTGTCCAGTTATAACTGTCTTGAACTTACCCTTTGATGCTTCTGAAGAATATGTTAAGAACTTGTTCAAAGGTGAGCATCTCATACGTCATTTGTCCTATTTCCTATTTCTGCTCGCACCAGGATGGGATTTTGCATGTGTACTTACCCAGTAATTCAACTGCAGAATCGTAGAAGCTAGAACGCTGCAGTTTTAAGAGCCTGGCAGATGGGGAACTGTGTTTTGTGCTGTGTAACAGCGTTACAAAACGCATATTTAAGGTTTTGGAGAAAATATGAACAAAAATGAAAAAGTTGTAAAGAATTATTAAAGTTGGTA